CTAATTCTTCCAGTTAGGCCCCACCTATTAAAGTTTCCTGCACTTCCCCAAATAGAGCACCATCGGGGACCAAGCCTTCAATATACTAGCCTTTTAGAGAGACACTTCATATCCCGACCATAACAACACTCTAAATGGAAAAAGCACTTATTTTTATTAAATTATGTCTTTAAAAATTCATGGATGAGGAGAGGAGCTAGGATGTAGTTCAGTTTGTAGAGTGCCTGCCTGGCATGTTCAAGACTCTGGGTTTGGTACACGCCTGTTAGCTCAGCTTTTGGAAATCAGAGGTAGAAGGATCAGAATTATTCCATGGCAGTCCAGTATTCAAGGATCAAGGTAATTAACTACATAGCAGATTCAAGGCCAATTCCCCAAAAGAACTTCATGGGTTAGGGAGCAGGTCTTAAACTATGTCTCCAGCAGAACTAGCAGAATTCTACAGAAACGTCTGCTAGGATCCAGGCTGGGCAGGAGAGACAGATGCTCAGCATCCTCCTTGAGGCAAAGGGATCATAACTTTAAGTCCAGCCTGGACTCCATACCAAGACTCTGCCTCACCCAAGAAAAAAATTAAGAAAAAAAATATCTGTAAGAATGGCTTCTACCTGTGTCTCCACTGAGAAACCACCGCCAAGACAATAGAACCTTACTTAAATCCAGGATTAGGAAGCCATCCCCCCAGGACAAGCTGTGCCTGTTTGATCTACGTGGGCAAAAATGAATGACCATGCCCGGCTTACTACTTCTCTGCATCAGGAAGTCAGATGTGCTCTGGGGCTTTTTACTAGCAAAGCTGTGAAAGCCCAATGTATATAGATCCATGCTTGCCAGGGAACGGCCGACATAAGAAACTGCATATCTCAAGGGCTGTGCTGATGTACATTCTTCATTGTGAAGGGTCTTACCCACTACTCTGTAAGTGTCACACTCCCACTTCCTGCCATATGCTCCTTCCCTGAGGGTGGTGTGATACTTATCATAGTCGAGTTTGGAAGGAGACATTTCACAAACATGGGTCAGGCCGCTTGCCCTTTTCTTCATCCACAGAAAGCAGTTTTTATTTTTGCATTGTAGTTCCCGGTGATCAAAATAGCTCTTCAAAGTTGCCTGAAAATGGCTGAGTACATGGACCTAATACTGGGGTCCAATATTAAAATGCTTGCTTGCCTACAGAGCTTATCGCAGACATATCAGAAAAAAGAAAGAGAATCCTTTGATCTCTATGTGCCAGTTTATTTTTTCTCTCCTGATCAAGGGATCTGGTCAAGAAACTAGGTCTGGAGAAATGGTTTGAAACTGTACTCTGTTGCAGGCCAACACATGGCTCTCAGGATACCCCCTGCTTTGAAGTGCCAGCAGCTTTCAGAGCGTTTCACGCTTGTGTCTCTGTGACCGTCACAATAACAAGGCAGGATAGCATCAGCTCAGGATGTGGTTTCTACAACTTCTTAATGTATTTAGATTATGACACACAAAGGAGATCTAAAAATATCTATGTAGACAGACAGACAGACAGACAGACAGACACACACACACACACACACACACACACCACAGGTATATAGCAATTCAAGAAAGGTATGAGGCTGCCAGAATTCTGGCTGCTTGAAGCCCTGCCTGGCTGCTCTGAGCACTGAGTTGTTTGCATTGGGCCTCAGCGCTATCCACTGCTCACCAGTTGGGAATTCTGTCTTAGTGAAACCTGTGAACTAGTTAAACGGTACAAAGTTGCTAAATGTATTGATTTGAATGAGAATGGCCCCAATGGTTCATGTGTTTCAATGCTTGGTCCACAGCTGGTAGAACTGTTTGGGAAGGATTAGAAGGTGTGGCTTTATAGGAGGAGGTGTGTCGCTGGGGGTGGGCTCTGAGGTTTCAAAAACCCATGCTATTCCTAGTTAGCACTCTCCCTCCCTCTTTCCCTCCCTCCCTCCCTCCCTCCCTCCCTCCCTCCCTCCCTCCCTCCCTCCCTCCCTCCCTCTGTCTCTCTTTTCCTCCTCTCTGTCTTGTTGTCTCAACATGTAAACTACCTATCTCTGTAAGCCTGTTTGCTTACTGCCATGCTCTCTATCATTAATCATATACTCTAGCCCTCTGGAACCATGAACCACCAATTAAATGCTTCCTTTTATAAGTCGCCTTGGCTGTGGTGTTCTGTCAGGGCAATAGAAAAGTAACTAAGACACTAACTAGATGTTTAAGTCCAGATCCTCTGAATCTCAACCCAAACAACTTCAAACAGTCCACAGTGGGAAAAGCCTTTATTATCAGCCCAAGTCCTCATTAAGACTTACAAGGTCAGAGAAGGTTCAAGCCATGCTTTCTTATTCCCAGCTGTCTATGTCTACTGGATCATTATCCAGTGATACAGCCTGCCTCCTGGCCTGTCTTCTACTTGCCGAACCAGAACAGATTGCCCTGGTTATGTTCCAGACAAGTGAGATTAGACACGAGAGAATCTGCTTTAAAATCTTGTGACCTGGGTAAGCCCCCCTTTTTTGTTTTGACCCCATCATGGGGCTGGCAATGCCTGTTTTGCTTCTAAGTGCAGGAGAAGATATCCTGCCTAGAGCAGTAGATGGTCCATTGATTAGTAGGGGAACTATTAAAAACAGTGGAACTGTGAAAAAATGATAGAAATATACCTTAAACTCCTTTTGTTGTTGATTTGGTTCTTGGAATCAAACATAGAACCTGGTACATGCTAGGTATGTTGGTTGGTTAGTCAGTTTTATATATATATATATATATATATTTTTATCAATTTGGCATAAGCTAGAGTCATCTGGGCAGAGGGAACCACAAACTGGGAAAATGCCTCCATCTGATTGGCCTGGAGGCAAGTCTGGGAGTATTTTCTTAATTAATGATTCGAGATGACCCAGCCCACAGTGGGCGGTGTCCCCTGTGGGAAGGCCATCCTGTTTAAATAAGGATGTAAACTGAACAAGCCATAAGGTGCAAACCAGTGAGTAGCATTCCGCCATGGCTTCTGCTTAAGTTCCGGTCTCCAGGTCTCTGAGTTCTGCCCTCACTCTCTTCAGGCTGGTTTTGGCCTGTGTTTTATCACAACAATAGAGAGCAAACCAGGACACTAGGCAAGTGCTCTACCAATGAGCATGCTCCCCCCAAATTCCTTAACCTTTGAAATTCAAAGTATACATGTGTATTTAGGCACCACTTAAATAATTAAGGTAGGATCGTGACATTCTCCAGGAACAGACATGTATTAATTGAAGTTCTACTTTGTCTTTCTTGTCTTAGTTGTGTCCACAATTCATTTATTCCACAAACACTATGTGTCAGGCATATTTAGGTGCAGTGAATATTTTGGTAAATAACACAGTCTAGGTTCATGGAGTTACATTCAACTGGAATTGTCTAAGTCTCGGGATTTGTTTGTTTTTATTTTGCATGTCTGGGGTTGGAATTCAGGGCCTCACAATTCAAGGCAAGCACTCTGCTAAACTGTACTCCCAGCAGCCCCAGCTGGCTTCAAGTGGACTGGGAGCTTAAGGACAAGGCGACGCTCTGTGACGCTCACGCTCTTTACCCGCTCCTCTCGTCTTTCCCACACCCGTTCAGCAGCAATGTTCTCGTGTGTGTGACATGTCCTCATGAAACCTCTCCAGAGTGCACCGTTCTGGTTTTCATAGGAACGAGAACCACTGTTTCTCATTCATGTTTCACTGGTTTTCACAGTAATTAAATTGTATCATTAAAATTACAAGCATAATGGCAGACGTGGGTTGAAAACAAATAGCACTGACCTCTGGCGAGCACTCAGCTCAATTTGTGAAGCAGAAGAGCCTGGGAGCACCTCTCCTAGTTGAGTATCTGGCTTACAGGGCATAAATGCATTTTCAGAGGCAGAGGGGCATTTGCTAGCCTGGTGATGGGTTAGGTCCAGGGCAGGTTCAATGGCTTTTGCCTTTCCTTGTCCATTCCAGTTCAGATACATAATGGGCTTTGATGGACTTGTGCCACTGTCATTGAAGGGCTCAAATAATTCAGTTTTTCTCCTTCCCTCTCCTTCTCCCACTTTCCTTCCTCCCTTCCCCTCCCTTTCCCTTCTTTTCACTTCCTCCTCCTTCTCTTCTTCTCCTTCCTCCCTTTCTTTCTTTCTATCTCCTTTTTTGTTTTTCGAGACAGGGTTTCTCTGTATTGCTTTAGAGCCTGTCCTGGAACTTGCTCTGTAGACCAGGCTGGACTCAGACTCACAGAGATTCTCCTGCCTCTGCCTCTCGAGTGCTGGGATTAAAGGCGTGCACCACCACCAGCCAGCCCTCCTCCTCTTTTTCAGAAAGTCTCACGGTATAGCTCAGGATAGCCTCAAACTGTGTATCTTTTGGCTAGCCTTGGATTCACAATCCTCCGGCCTCTGCCTTCAGAGCGCTGGGATCAAGCAGGCACCACTGCCCAGCTCAAGTTTATTTTAAAGCTTAACTGCTTAACTAAGGTGGGGAAAACAGTAGCTGTTATTTAGCCATGCTTAGTTTTGCTTTTATAAAGTCTATGATGCACAGTTCTTCATGGCCTTTCTTGTGATATCATTTTCTCTTTGGTCTTCTCTGATGTATCTCCTTGGTTAGGCCCCACCCTTTCTCCCTGTTTCCTTAGGATAGCAGAGTTCCTACCCAGCAACTTCCTGTGTCACACAAAACCCATCCCTCCAGATGCCGACTGGGAATTACTACAGGGTAGGGTGGATTCTGATCTATGGACAGGGTAAAGGAAAATCAAGGGAACCTTGGCTTCTTCCCTTCAGAAGGCAAAATGAAGTCAACACACACACACAGAGAGAGAGAGAGAGAGAGAGAGAGAGAGAGAGAGAGAGAGAGAGAGAGAGAGAGAGAGAGAGAGAGAGAGAGAGAGAGAGCCATAGCATTTGAGTGCTAGCATCAGCTCTAGTCTTCTTAGGAATTGGCCCTATTTTCCTGTCTTGGATTTCACAAGGAGTCTTCTCTGCCCTCATTGGCTGAAAATTTCCCTTCTAGAACCATCTGGGTCAAGTGGTCCTGAGTTCAAAGAACATGTGGTCTCTAAGCTTCTCTCTGAAACAAAGTACTCCGTGGGTCCTCAGCAATTACATAGCCTCCTGCGGCAGAGCCAGTCACCCGTGTAAAGGGGAAAGAAGAGAGCAGAGCATCCTCCCAGTACCAGCTCTAAACAGGAAGACATTAGAAACAAAGGGGCAGCTGTGACAGTAAGAGTGAATGACGAAGATTGTCCTAGGTCCCGTGGAGCTTCTGGAATGACAATAAAGTGATAGAGATTATTTAATTCAGACAGCTTTGTTACTGACAATGAAGTTAAAACATCAGGCACAATGACCAGAAGACAGGGCAGTCTGCTGTGAAGCTATGGAGGATGCCTCTCCTATTTAGTTGTCTGTGGTCACCAAGATCCCCAGGTCCCTGCTCTATTCTAAGTGATCCTAAAGTCAAAACGGTTTTTTTCATAATACAGCGATGATGTGTTTTTCACAGTCTGACATCCTCACTGATGGAGGATGGAGCAAAAGTAACAATGAGTAGAATTCCTGGCATCTTCCCATCCACTGAGAGAGGCAGGACACCCAATGTATTAGTTACCATGGCTATGCACTCGCACAAAAACAATGCCACCACGCTCACCGAAGAATGTCCCTGATAAAGCAAAGTTATCAGTTGTATTAAATATTGGTACTTCTCAAGTAATCTGTATAATAAAACGTGAATCATGCATGAAATATTTCTTATGTATTCCAAAGTATGATTGCTACCATAGAAAAACACCAAGGCAATTATTTCAATTGTGAGTTGAATGGACCACTTTATCACAGAGCATCTTTTTTTTTTCTTTGAAAGAATGAGTGACAAAGAGTGCTTTTCCAGACTGGGCATTTGACAGACACTTTCTCAAAAATGAACAAAGGGAACCTGCCACTTGAAGGAAAACAACCAGTAGCATTTGTTGCCAATGATGAAATGTGAGCTTCTATGTGCAAATTAGAATTTTAGAAAACTCATATCTAGCACTGTGGTGCTTGCTGGGTAGGTTGCCAGTGCTTAAGAACCTTCCCTAATGAATAGGATTTTCTCCTGGCATGGCTTAGTGAAGTGTGTCAACTTTGGGAATGCTTGCATAGCTCAAGAAGCCAATATTTTGGTATGGCCAGTGCCTTGTGCACAGGGTACTGACTACGTGAAAGGGACATTCTAAGTACTTAATAAGGTTGGCTCTCGCAAGCCCCCAGGGGCCATCCCTGACTCCTCCACTAAATAAACAAAATGGCATTATAAGTGTAAAGCAGATGGATGTAGAGACTACACTGACATAGTTATCAAATTCCACGTTGGAACAAGTATTTAAAAACACCTGGTAAGGGGTCAGCAAGGTGGTTCAGCAGTTAAAGGCACTTGCCACCAAGCCTGATAACCTGTTTGATCCCCATGATCTGTATAGTAGAAAAGGAAAACAGATTCCTTCAAGTCATCTTCTGATCTCCACACATGCACTGTGCATGTCTGCACATGTATACTAGGTAAAATGTAATTAAAAAATAAAGCAAGGAACTGGGCGGTGGTGGCGCACGCCTTTAATCCCAGCATTCGGGAGGCAGAGGCAGGCGGATCTCTGTGAGTTCGAGGCTGGGCTGGACTGATAGCCTCCAAAACAATACAGAGAAACCCTGTCTCGAAAAACCAAAAAATATATATATATAAAGCAAGGGATGGAGAGATATGTTAATAGTTAAATGCACTTGTTCCTGCAAAGGAATAGGATTTAGTTCCCAGAACCCACATGATGGCTCACAACTGTCTGTAACCCTAGTACCAGGGGATCTTGTATTTTCTTCTGACCTTTGGTCGCACCATATACATGCAGGCAAAACAGTCATTCACATAAAATGTTTATGCTTTTGTGCATTATTTAATAGGAATATGCACAATTATTTTTAAAAGGCTTGTGTACTCCTCCTTTTCCTTGCTGTGTATTAATGTCAAACCAATTTTTCTTCAACCAAAATGACAAATGACTGAATACAGAAGCAATAGAAGGATCTAGTTGCTTTCTGTTAATGGAGATATTGTAGAAATTACAAAAATAGGGCCAGTGAGATGGCTAAATAGGCAGGTGCTGTCCACCAAGCCTTATGACTTGAGTTCGATCTGTGCATGCGCGCATACACACACACACACACACACACACCTTCTAAAATAAAGTATATGTGTGTGTGTGTGCAGTGAGTTGTGCACATATGGAGATCAAAGGATGATTTTGTGAGGTCAGTTCTCACCTTTTCAGGCAGGCACCTTTACTGGCTAATTACTGACTTAAGCTACTTCATAAGCTTCCCCATCATCCATCCATCATCTATCTATCCATCCATCCATCCATCCATCCATTATCCATCCATCATCCATCCATCATTCATCATCGATCCATTCATCCATCTATCCATCTTGAGAAAGGACCCTTGCTAAGTTCCTCAGCTGGCCTCCAACTGTTTCTGTACCCCAGTCTGGCCCTGACTTGCTGTTTTCCTGTCTCTGCTCTTAAGCTTTTGAATAGCTAGGATCAAAGGTGCTATGATAGCCTAGCTTAGATGATGTGAATTTTAAGAATAGAAATATGCCAGGAGGTGGTGGTACACTCATTTAGTCCCAGCACTCAGGAGGCAGAGGCAGGTGGATCTCTGTGTTTGAGGCCAGCTTGGTCTACAGAGTGAGTTCCAAGATAGCTAGAGCTATACAGAGAAACCCTGTCTCAAAAAACAAAACACAAGCAAACAAAAGAGAGTAGAAATATTTACGTTACGTTAATATTTAACAGGCTCATTTTGGTTGTATTACAACTAGTAAGTATATTAACATCTCTATCAGGAGTAATAGCCTCCCTACATTTCAAGACTATAAAGGGCTCTGAAACTAAAATGTTTGACCCTTTGGAAAGTAGGCTGGAGGGAAGGATGTCTGTCTACTTTGCCAAGTAACCTAAGGCTGTCACTGCTTTATTTTTAGTCCTGCCCCACGCCCAGTGTTAGAAAACTGCAAAGAACTTTGGCACCTTAAAAATCAAAGGACTCAAAACAGAGAAGTCCAAAGTAATGAAAAGTAAAGGTCTCCAGGGACCAGTGCTGCAGTGGCCTCCACCCCTCCAGGCACCCCTTGGTCTCAAACCCAGTCACCCACTCCCACCCACAGCTCAGCACCACCCCCAGAAAGCTATTGTTCTCCAGGTTCTCAAAACACAAAGAGACTTAAGAAAACCTGGAACTGACCCCTGCCCTCAGATCCTGCTCTGAGCTCCAAGGAAGGGAGCCCGGGTCTCAGGTTCCAATGGAGAAGGAAAGGTACTGTAAATCTCTCACTTGCCCAGAGCTGCCAGAAGGCTGCTTTCCTGTTAGTAAACAGGCCTGCCTGGGCCATCTTTCTCCTCTTTAATAACCTGTGGGGAATCTATTGATTGCACATGCTAGTTTCTCATAAATTAGAGCAGGGATGTCTTCCGGTTGCTCCGGAGCAGTGTGGATGGTGAAACTGGCTCACTAATACTTCATGGGTATGGAGCACAGCATCCTGTGCCACATAAACATAAAGACTATGTATCATCGGGTGTCAAGAATGCACGGGGACAGCTCTGGGGGCAGCCACAGCATCTGGGCATGCTGCAGACTTTAATTAGGCAGTTTCTCCCACTTCAGCCAAGGCTGATACGAAGGGGAATTTCAGGCCTCCAATTCCAATCGGAGGGAACCACAGGCCCATGTGGGTAGATGGACCTACTACCCTTTTCTTCTCTAGTTACCTCAGCAGGAATGGGAGCCAGTAGAAGGGAATGTACCTCTCTTAGCTTTGGTTGTAGGTGGAGCCCTAAGTTAGAAATCGAAGGAAGATTTCAAAACCCTTGCTTCAGGGGCTGCAGAGACGTTCCTGTCCCAGTACCAACCTATAACTCCTCGGATGTTCACCTATAACTCCACAATAATCTGGGTGGAGACCGGAGGGTCTTAGAGGAGGAATAGGGTAAGGATGGCAGAGGAAGGCACTGGGTATCCGCTTCTAGTCCTGAGGGCACCTACACACACTCATGTCTGCATACCACATTCTCACACACAAACAGGTACACACACAATCAGTCATCAGTCTTAAAACAGACAAGCAAACAAAAATAACAACAAAAAGCTTGAGTGAGCCACTGGGGAGTACAGAAAAAAACACAGAGCTCTGGGCAGCGCCTGGATTCATATGGGTGCTCAGTATTCGGTATCTCAGTACTCAGTGCTAGACACAGCTGTATGAGAGGAAGGATCCAACAACAAAGTGTCTACAGAAAAGATGCATAGATATGCAAGATCCATGTGCAGCAAGCATTCTCCCTCTCACACACACATCAAGTGGGACACATCCCGTGGCAGATGGCTGGCTGGTGCCCTGAAGTCAACTTTTCCTTCTGTTTGGGTCATGGAAAACAGACTTCCAGGGATGGCCGTGTACTCCACTAAATCTGACCTCCCAGCATCTCTTGTAGTTTTGGCTACAGAAGTATAAACAAAGAAAACACTAAGAGACTTCTGCGATGTCTCCTTATGGGAGAGTGTGAAGAATTTAATCCTCGTATAGCTAAACTGTCAACTTGAGAAGATTTGGAATCACCTTGGAGGCACACCTCTAGGCCTGTCTGTGAGGGCATTCCCAGGAGGTTTAACTGAGAAGGGAAGATTTACCCTGAATGTGGATAGCACTGTCCCTTGAGCTGGCCTCCCAGACTGAACAAAAAAATAGGAGAAAGGAAGAAGATAGCCAGCTGAACACCAGCATTTATCTCTCTTTGCTTCCTGACTATACATTGTTACCAGCCACTTAAAATTCCAGCTGCCATGCCATCCCTGCATGACTGACTACATCCCCTCAAACTTTGAGCCTGAACAAACCATTCCTTGCTTAAGTCTCTAGTCTGGTATTTTGTCACAGCAACAACAAAAGAAATGGATATCTATTGTGTGTCCTCAAAGCTTGTATACTGATCCCCAGAGTCTTGGGATGTGGTCTTATAGACATTGTTTTCTTGAAGTGTTGAGTAGGTAGGCTGAGCTCATTAGGATGGACCTTCATCCCATAATAATGATATTCTCATAAATGGACCACAGACACACACACACACACACACACACACACACACACCCATTTGCACGGGCATACACACACAGAGACCATGGGAAATTGACAAAAAAAGGGCAAAGACTGGGGTGATGATCCTACAAACTAAGTAACCTCCAAATTGACAGAATGCAAGAAGCAAGTAGAGGGGCATGGAGCAGCCCTCCCCCCCAATATTGAAAGGAGTGGACTCTGCCAATACACCCAGCTTTCTAGCCTCCAGAACTGGGACAACTTTGGGATAATACATTTCAGTTAAGCTACTCTGTAGTGATTGGTTGTGGCAGTCCTAGCACGATTGCACACACTCATAATGCTGTTCACCACTTTTTGTTCAGTCATGTGGATTGTAGGGGAGAGTGCTAATTTCGTTAATCATTTTGGAGCACAAAGAGGGCCACATTCACACATGGCAGAGCAGAGAGCTAGCTAGAAGGTAGGAAAGAGGAAGAGATGCTGACCTCTAGCACACACACACACACACACACACACACACACACACACACACACGTACATATACATGCATATACACTTGCATACTTCCCAAAATACATATAAATACCCCCATCCCCACAAAAGCATTTGTTGATCTAGCTATTGTTACGGAAGGTTTCTTTCTGGTCAGGTCCCACAGCCGCCTCAACCCCAAATGAGTACACAGAGACTTGCATTAATTATAAAGCTGTTGGCCGGTGGCTTGGGCTTCTTATTGGCTAGGTCTGTCTTAATTACTAACCCATTTCTATTGACTATGTATTTTCACATGGTCTTGGCTTGCTGGAGAACGCTTGGCCTATATTTCCTGCCTAGCCAATCAGCCAATCAGCATTTTATTCATCATCCAATAAGAGAAACACATATGCAGAAGGATATCTCTCATCAAGCTATGGTGGTTCATGCCTGTAATCTCAGCATTTGGGACCTGAGGCAGGAGGATTGCCATGAGTTTTAGGACACCTGGGCCTAGTGAGTACCAGGACATCTAAGGATATATTATGAGAATCATCTCAAATGGACAGACAGACAAGAGACATTTAATAATAAAATACAATCAATGAATTTTACATACAAAAACAGGAGAATGAGGACAAAGAATTGAAACAATATGACCAGCTTAAATGTATGTATCTTGTTTCTTTGACAATATTTTTATTGATTATTTGGGAATTTCACATAATGCACCCTGATCATCCTTAATTCCAAGTTCTCTCAGGTGATGCCCCTTGCTCTTGTGGCCTCCCCCCCCAAAAAAAGTTCCGTGTGTGTTGTTCATATGGTCACCGGAACATAGTCAAACCCCTGGTAGCTAGCCCCTTCAAGAAAAGTGAGTCCTTCCCCACCCCGCCCTCTCCAGTAGCCATCTATTGTGGAGAGCTACACTCCAGTAGTCTTATAATTTTTAAGAGTTCTCTTATATGTCTTCTTGTCTAGGTTGTTACTTTTGGGGTTAGGGTGGGATATTGTCACAGAAACCTTCTAGTCTCTTCTTCCTCTGTGAGTCTACAGTCATCAATACCACTGGAGAGGCTTCCTTATCCTTTACAGTCAGCATTAGCATGGATCATGGACTTCCACATGATATCTGGCAACAACATAGACAGTGGAAATCTGTAACCCAAAATTAAAGACTCAGAGACTGATATTGGGGTTCAAGCTTCAAGCTGAAGATCAGAGAAGCAAAGCAGCCAAGTCAGTAGATCTTTCCTCTGCCCAGATGAAATGGCTGCTCCTATCTCCTCCACAAATCCTCAGAGACAAAAGGCTCTCACCAAGCCTCAGACTGCTGTCTCTCCTCAGCGTGACTGGAGAATAAATGCCTTCCTATCCTCAATGTGGCTGGAGAATGAACGCCACAAAATAAAAATAAAAATAAAAAAATAAAAGAAGTGATGTGGGATAATGCTCTTCTTCACTGTAAAGATTTGTCACTCATATTGGTTTAATAAAATGCTGCCTGCCAGTAGCCAGGTGGGAAGTATAGGCAGGATTACCAGACTAGGAAAATTCTGGGAAGAGGAAAGGCAGAGACACAGTCACCAGCAAGACACAGAGGAAGCAAGATAAGAATGCCTTACAGAGAAAAGGTACCAAGCTAAACATAGATAAGAATTATGGGTTGTTTTAAGTTGTAAGAGTTTGCTAGTAATAAGCCTGAGCAATAGGCCAAACAGTCTATAATTAACATAAGCATCTGTGTATTTATTTGGGATTAAATGGCTACAGGACCTGGCGGGACAGAAACTTCTATCTACAGAAATCCATCTGGCCTCTGACATCAGTATGTGCCATGAACCTCAGCATGGTCTCCAATGGCAATATGGGTCATGGACACCAAACAAGGTCCCCAGCAGCAGCCCAACCCGTGGACATCAACAAGGCTTCAGGTAGTAGCACAGACCATGGACATCACCATGGCCATGGTGGCTGTATGTGCCATGGATATCAATATGGCCTCCAGCCTGCAACAGGACCTAGGAAATGTGTGTATTTTATTTGGATATTGATTTACCAAGAACATTTGTTTAAATTTTCTTTAAACTATTTAATGTTATTGTTCTCTGTGTGTGCCTACATGATGTACATGTGAACATCAGAGAACAACACTTTGGGGGTTGGACTCGGGTCTTTAAGGCTTGCATGGAAAATGCCCTCATCCACTGAGAGCTGTCTTGCTGCCCCTGCCCCCTCCCATTCATGAGGCAAAATCAGGCATGGTGGCTCATGCCTATACATATAGTATTTGGGCAGCTGAGGCAGGAGAAATATAAGATAAGGCCAGCCTGTGTATACAGGGAGTTGTCTCCCCTCCCCCTTTTTTTATTCAGTCTGGGAGGCCAGCTCAGGAGTGGTGCTTTCCGTGTTCAGTACAGGTCTTTTCTCCTCAGTTAAACTTGTCTGGGAATGACCTCATAGTCAGACCCAGAGTTATGTCTCCTAGGTGATTCTAAATCTTGTCAAGTTGACAGTAGAGATTAACTCCTACAGGGGCACCCGGGGGTCAAAATTGCCCTACACAGAAAACAATAGCTCTCAATATCTCTTAGACATATTTTCTGGAACGTATACATGTGGGATGTTTTAAGTTGGGGATTTGCTTCTAAGTGAGTTCAAGGCTAGTTTGTATATACCAAGAATCCATTTCAAAACCCAAAACAAAACAGATGAGACAATTGGGGAAATTTCAGTATTAGCTGTGCATCAGACATAAAGGAGTTACTATTAGTTTTTATGCATGCGAATCATATAGGTTGTATTTAAAGTGTTCTTTTAGACCCTGAAAGAGTGGTTCTCAGCCTGTGGGTTGTGACCCTGTTGAGGTTCCCGCATCAGAGATCCGGCATATCAGATATGCATTATGATTTGTAACAGTTGCAAAGTTACAGTTATGAGGTAGTAACAAAATAATTTTATGGTTGGGGGTCACCACAAGATGAGGAACTGTATTAAAGGGTCACAGCATCAGGAAGTTTGAGAGCCCCAGCTGTAAAGCATGGCTTTCTGGTTTTAGTCAAGTAACTTTTGCGGGGATGGATACGTTTTTGCTTTGTAGCCCAGGCTGACTCCACACTCAAGATTCTCCTGCCTCATCCTCCTAAATGTCAGAATTACAAGTCCATTTCTCCCATCTGTCATTATGTTAGGTGACACTCCTGCATTCTTTCTACTCACTAGGTGGTAAGTAGGCTCCTCCTCATTCACTCTCAAAATCATAAAACCACCTGCAAAAATGTGGTCAGACACTGCCTAATGTCCTCTGGAGGGAAAATTGCCTGGCATAGAGAATATAAATTTACAGGAAATATGTATGGGTGCAATATTTTTTGTTGTAGAATATTATTTTAAGGTATGTTACTTTTGTTTATGCTCTGAAACAGTTAATGGTACAAAGGTGTGTTTGATTAAATGAAATTCACCTGCAGTCAGGAGGCTGGGTCAGCAACTAGCTGACAGGAAGTTGTAGGGCGGAGCCAGGTGGAGAAGAGTTTATAAAGAGGGGCAGGAAAAAGCACGAAGACTTCTTGGAAGACTCAAGGAGGTGAACTAGGTGGGTTGCTTGCTATTCAGCCTCTCTGGGAAGCAGGATTCTACCTCAGCCTTTGAACCTTGATTTCTTTAGTGGTACAGAGAATTGTGTAAGTTTTCTTTGTAGCTTTGAAAGAGTTGGTGCCTGAGGGACTTCTTAGACTCTTCTAGTTTAGCCACTGCTGGTAGTAACTGAGGGACAATTGCTAAATAGGATAGCCTTAGCTTAGAAGGCAGCTACAATGTAAACATAACAAAACAACAAATTGGTGCTCCATGTTGGGCACCATTTAATTGTTTTTGTTTATTTATTTATTTATTTATTTATTTATTTATTTATTTATTTATGGCTCTTTGGATTTTTTTGAGGGGCCCACCACCCAGCTCCCAAGGCTTATTCTTAGTTGCGAATGCTTGGCCTTAGCTTGGCTTGCTTCTTGCCAGCTTTTCTTACATCATCCCATCTACTTTTTCCCTCTGGGCTTTTATCCTTTTTAATTTTGTATATCTTTTTTTTTTAACTCCATGACTGGGTAGCTGGGTCCTGCTAGCCTCCTCTCCTCCTCTTGCTGCTTCTCCCCTGCTACTTATACTCTGTCTGCCTATCCTAGCTCCTGCCTTACTATTGGCCATTCAGCTCTTTATTAGGCCACCAGGTGTTTTAGACAAGCACAGTACCACAGCTTCACAGAGTTAAACAAACACAGCATGAACAAAAGTCACACACCTTAAAATAATATTCTCCAACAGATTTTCCTTTGAGATTTTGCTTTGAAATGATCCCATTAGTGTTGGGAGTGTAGGAAGACCTGAGTGTGTGAGGTTCTGTGTACATATGAGCTGATATAGGCATGGCCATGTCAAGGACCACAGAGCCTCAGACTCAAAGGGAAATGGTAAAACTTCCCTTTCTGCTTCATATAGGGACGGATATTGGTACCGTGTGCAGAAAATGTCCACCATGACATTCTCCCCCAAGGTATTTACAGCCTGAAGACTCATCCCCTGTAGAGACTGCTCCTACTGAGATGAGCGAAACCTGCCTCCGTGTTCAGTTGTGTACCATAAACCCTGCCTCCTTGTTTATCTGTATGTAATAACCCCTCTTCTTTGTTCAGCCGTACACTGCCTTTCTGTCCAACTCTATTCCTGGATGCCGGTTTCTCCAGGTAAGAGCCCAGACCACCCAATCCCAACTTTTTCTACATGTGTTAGTCTGTCTTTTTTTTTTTTTATTCCCTTGCCACCTCAGTCAGGTACATTCCTGCAACCATGCTGGACATGGCATATTATGTTCCATAATGAAAAATTTAAAGTACATTTAAACAAATGTTAAAAATTCTGTTTGGACTTGGGTGGTGGTTTGTGAGAATGGCCCCTATGGGCTCATATATTTGATGGAACTGTTTTGGAAGGATTAGGAGGTGTGGCCTTTTTGGAGGAAGTGTGTCACTGGGGGTGGGCTTTGAGGTTTCAAAAGCCCATACCAATACCAGATGGTGATTTTTCTCTCCTTCCTTCTCCCCATCTCTTCCTCTCTCTGTCTTCCTCCCTCTCTACTCCTCACTTCCCTGTCTTCTTGCTTGGTGGATGCTGTCTCAGTTCTCGGTTACAGCTTCAGCACCCTGCCTGCCTGCCTGCCTGCTGCCATGCTCTGTAATGGAACTTTCTGGTCCTGCTGCTGCCCTTCTCAGCCCCAAATGAACACACAAAGACTTATATTACTTATGAAATTGTTGGCTGATGACTAGGGCCTCTTATTGGCTAGCTCTGTATTAATTATTAACCCATCTCTATTAATCTAAGTATTTCCACGTGGTCTTATCTTACCAGAGAAGGGTCCAGACCTCTAACTCCTTTGGTGACTCACATGGCAACTGCGTCTGCCTACATTTCCCAGAATTCTCATCTCCTAGTCCCACCTATCTCCCTACCTCTATTGGCCACTGTGTTTTATTTATCAACAAATAAGAGAAACATATATACAGAAGGACTTCCCCCATCAATGCTCTCTGCCATGATGGCCATGGACTAGCCCTCTTAAGCTGTGAGCCTCCAGATTAAATGCTTTTCTTTATACATTGCCTTGGTCATTGTTTTGTCACAAAAATAGAAAATAACTAAGACACTTGGCTTCCCATCAATGTGGTAGAATTAGTGTTCTGAAGTATTATCTCAAATGTGAATATCCTGGGTAAAATATGGTAAATATTGACATTCCTTAGTCCATATCTCTTCTCACTTCTTTCATGTGACCACTACAATCTAGGGTGCTGAGTTTCAAATCTGACTATAGGTCTGGGGTTGCTCAATGGTAGAGAGTTTGCCTACCATGTGCAAGGCAACTGAGCCTTCTCCAGCACTAAAGCAAAAAGTTTTGATGGGGTAAGGCAGGATTCGCTGCAAAGGTCATTTAAGTGTACCTACCCTGTGGTGTCCTTGGCCAGGAGCTTCTCTTGGACTCACTTCAGTTACTTGGTAAGACTCTATTGGCAGGTTTGCTTACTGACTCTTCCCTGGGGCTCCTCCTCTCCCGGTCCCCAAGGTCAGGCTGAGTGGAGCTATGCTCAGAGTGAGGTTCATTTTGGCCTTGCACAGCTCTCAAGGAGTCCAGCCCATCAGCTTATGTTCACAAAAGCTTCAGTCTCTGCCTAGCATGAGGCTGACCTGTTACTCCTTGTGTGTGTGTGTGTGTGTGTGTGTGCCCCCCCCCATCACACACACATTCAATGTCACATGGCCACCTAGGGTTTCGATTGGCTAGTCAAGAGTGCAGAGGCCCTCACAGGGATTATGTCACCTGGTTCTCAGACTGACTTTCATGCCCCTTATCTTCCCCAGGATCCTGGACATTTAGAGGTTCAATCAGTATCACCTCACCATATGGGTCATGGATTCTTATTGAAGTCCATCAGTGTTCAGAGTCCAAGGAAGGGGCCCTAGCTGGAGACAAACCTGATTGAAAGTTTTCTGCTAAGTTGAAGAACTTGCCCAGAGGTGAGGACGGCTGGGGGTTTGGACTGTGGGCTCTGGGGTGCAGGGAAGGGCCATGATCAGGTCCCATCCTTAGTTCTGAGGCTGGGTGCCCAGTTCAAGGCCTAGCTAAGCTTTCCCAGCAGAACAGCACTGGTGGGAAAGCCCCTCAGGCCCCAGAGAGACGAGGCCTGCAGACATCTCCTGACAGAGCAGCCAGATTTTTACTCACTGTTCTAACCACAGCACCTTCTTTCTAAAGGTGGGGGGTGTCTGTCTGGAGGAAAGCTCTTGAGGTGAGCCCATGGCAGGAGGCTGGAGCCACACCACTTCCTCTCGAGTTCTGAGTGTTCTGACTGAATCACCCATCCTGGTTTCTACGGTAATTTTCTGATACTGGCCCACTTGAATGGAAAGTGGTCTGCCACTGGTGAGCTTCAAGTGACTGAGAGCCATGGGTGGATCTACATGAAAAGTTTTCTCCTCTCCTTAACAGAAAGGGAATATTGTATAGGATTGCAAAAGAGTTTAGCAGTCTCAGAGTCCTAGGTTCAAATCTAAGGCCCTCCCCTCCATGTATTAGTTGTGTGAAGCAGTGGGAAAGTTGGTCAGTGTCCCTGGGGTCTTGCCTTGCTCATAAGTGAAATGGGAGTATTCTCATATAGATGCGGTGTGAGTGCCAAGTCTTAGTAAATACCTACTTGTGCTATTTGGGGGGAAGCGAAAACCGTCTGTGCCCATGCCTGTAGATGCTTCAAACAATGGACTTTCTGAAAGTCTACTCTTACAGACAAAAGGCTCTTTAAACTTCCAGCCCTTGTCAAGCAACTGAAGTAGACCTAGAGAAGGGAAAGAGCTGACTGGCATGGAGGCAACAGGGAGAGCCATTTGAGGTGTTGGAACAAAGTGTCATTAAAAATCATTGAGTGTAAGTACAACCTGACTTAAATGCATTTAGTTTAATTCTACTGAGTATTGGGAGGCGCTTGGTCTTCCTGAATGTGTGCTTCAAGCCTTCGATTATAGACAGCTGGTTTTGCCCATTCATCTTCTACTTCCTGCCTTAATCCGTGGTCCTAATACTTGGGTGATTGAGGCAGGAGGGCGGGGGAGGGGGATCTCCAGTTCCAGACCAGCCTGGACAGCCTAGTGGGATCCCATTTAAAAATAAAAATAAAAAGGGGGACTGGATAAATGCTTAGTGGTTAAGAGACTTGCTGCTCTTCAGAGGACCTGAGTTCAGTTCCTGGTACCCACAACCCAATGCAAGGAATCCACACCAGGAACCTAGAGAAGAAACTGGAGGAATTTTGCTTGCCAGCTCACTCCAACTTATTCTCAGATAGCTTCCATATACAGAGGACCTGAGTCTGGTTCCTAGTATCCAGAATCTCCTGTAACTCCAGCTCCAGGGGGTTACACAAGTTGCTTTGCCCCCACCCCAACCACACAAATAAAAAATACTCAAAATTGAAAAGAAGGTGGAAATTTAGCTTGAATATGTTACTGTAGCACATAGAGTTAGAAGTAGGGCTTTTGAGATATTAAAATTATGTTTCCATGTTTAGTCTTCATGACTGAAACTTTATGGCTTTAAAAGGGACTAGGAGACTCATACATGCCTACAAGCTCCTGGTCTTCTGCTATACGATGCCCGGGGACACCAATGCAGGGCTCTGACAGTGACATGATTGTCACCAGTTTCTAGGCTCTCTGCCCCCAGAACTGTGAACTAAGTAAGCCTCACTCTTGTAAAGTTATTGCCTAGGATAGTTTCATCAAATTTACACATGCAACAGATCTTTTTCTGTCCCACCAGCCAGCTCCCATATAAGGACATGGAAACTTCTTATTCATTATGAAAGCTCAGCCTTTTGCTTAGGCTTGTTCCTAACTAGTTCATATAACTTAAATTAACTCATTTATATTAATCAACGTTCTACCATGTGGTGGTACCTCTCTTCCATCTTGTACCTCTTGGTTCCTCTCCATGTTTCCTCATATCTCCTGTGTGCCTAGCGTCCCCTTCTCTTCGTCTCTCTCCCTGAAAATCCTGCCTATACCTCCTGCCTAGTCATTGGCCATTCAGCTTTTTATTACAACCAATGTATTACAGCAATCTTCATGTAGTATACAAATATCCCACAGCAGACACACCTAGCATTATTTGAGAAGGGAGTCTCAGTTGAGGGATTGTACTGGTGAGGCTGGTTGGTGACCATCTGTTGGAGATTATCTTGGGAGTTAATTGATGCAAGAGGAACGAGCTCACCATGGGCAGTACCATTTCCTAGACAGGTGATCCTGGGCTATATAAAAAAGCTGGCTTTGGACTAAGCATGAATCAGTGAGCAAATCAATGAGTAGCATTTTTCCCTGGCTTCTTTTCTAGTTCCTGCTTGAGTTCCATCCCCAACAGCCCCAATGATGGGTTGTGACGTGGAAGTATAACCAAATAAAACCTTTGCTCCCCTAAGTTGTTCTTAGCCAATGTTTTTTAATCACAGCAACAGAAAAGCAACTAGAACAGTTACCTAGTCTCGGCTATTTTGTTATAGATGCATAATATATTAATGGAGGAAAGTACCCAAATTCTGGTCTTTCCACGAGTTAAGGTGAAGTCGATCTCATTCCCTCAGTTCCGGATGCGAGTCTATCCCAGGTTGCTGGTTGGTTGCAGAATGAGCTCTTTGTTGAGCTTGGTATTCTGCTGAGAACACTGAGCACACTGGAGTTGCAAAGCTAAAGCCACTTCTGGCAACTTTGCCACCTTTTGGCCAGAGTCCGCCTGAGAAGCGGAGAGGTGTAGATTTTGGGTTGCCCTTACAATTGCCTGGGACCAAACGGTCCTGAAGAGGATTCCATATTACCTTCTTAAAGACAGCCTGAGTTTGGCTTCTGCTAATGGCAATCAAAGGGTTGTGACTAATGCATCTATTCAGATTTATTTTGATGAACAGTTTGCAACTTTTACATTGTGGCATGCAGAACTAGGAGTTTGACATGTTTGACAACATACTTTTGACAGTTCTGTCTATTTCTGACAAGGAACTGCTGGGAAGCTTTGGGAACCCCTTCTAATTCTTGGCTCCCAACTTTTTCTGAACACACTAGGGCAGTATATACTTCTTTTCTATCTCCCTTGAGTAGAATTCAATCTCTTTGAGAGCAGTGGTTTTATTCATTGTTGAGTCAAGCATTTAAGCTAGGGACTGGCACAGCATCCCGAGTGCTGGGATTAAAGGCGTGTTCCAGCACTGCTGACTGAGTAAGCACTTCTTAAGCAACTAAAACAATGGCCTGACCCAGACTATATGTAGAGGAATTAAGATTAAGATGGTGAGTCAGCTGGGAGGCCAAGGAATTCAAGGTTGGCTGTGCTCTTTGCAGTTACAGACTGGTGATTGGGCTGTTGCTCAGGAGAGGTGAGGATCTAGTGGGAGTTATGCACCAAAGACTGGTGTAGACTGGGATGTAGGAGGGGTCTGGGCACAGAGTTCTAGAGAAGGCCTACAGTGATCAGCTTGTCCTGATTTGTCCTGGACTTTCTGGGAAACCCCCTTTAGCACAGGAGAACTAAGATGTCTGGTCAGTCTAAGAATATGGAGGGGAGGGAGGAGGTCTGGTTAGAGATGAACCTGCTCAGAGAATCCACAGAAGGAAAGGGTTTCAGTAAAGACAGGTTTCCTTGCCCTTTTGCAAAGGCCTGCTGGTTTGCTTTTTAAAGTAATGTGTGTGTGAGAGAGAGGGGGAAGAGGGAGTCAGAGAGAAAGGGGGGAAGTAGAGAGAGGAGGAGGCAGAGAAAGGGGGAGGGAGGGAAGGAGGCAGGGAGGGGAGAGAGAGAGAGAGAGAGAGAGAGAGAGAGAGAGAGAGAGAGAGAGAGAGAGAGAGAGAGAGAGAGAGAGAGAGAGAATGTGTGAGGAGCCAGGGCCCATATGGAAGTAAGGAAGTGAATGAGGGAATCAGTTCTCTCCTTCCTCCCTGTGGGTTGCAGGATTGAACTCAGGTCATCGAGTTTGACAGCAAGTGCTTTTACCCACTGAAACATCTCGTTGGTCCCCAAGAACAATTTTGTTCTGATCCTCAGAGTTCACATTACCCCAGCACCTCCACGCCTCCCAGGAAGTACTGAATAGCTTCCCATCAGCCCTAGTAACTGGTTTGGTTCCAGGGAGTGGGCGCTAACCCAGACTGGTTAGAAAAAAATCTGCATTCTTGAATTTTGGGGTCTGGATCCTTACACGGGGCTCCTCACAAAGGGCTCACTAGCGGTGGCCATTTCTGTCTCGTGCCAAGGTGGAACTGAAGAGTGTCAACAACTCTGCAGGCTCTGTGACAGGGATCACAGGAAGCTGCCTCTCCCTCGTAAACAGCAGAGAGCAGCAACACCTGCTTGTTGCAGCTCTTACCACTGAGCACGGAGTGATGCTAAGGTCTAAACTGAGGGAAATTGTTACAAAGTACCTCCAAAAGCAAAAGAGTGTGCCCCAAAGGAGAATTTTTACGCCCCTTTTTAACTTGACAATGGAGTAAGCCCTTGATTATTATATAGCCTTTGCACCCTTGATTACATAAGGAACAAGTCAGACAACAAATTGGGAATTAGCATGTAAATTTCAAAATATCTAAACTTAGGCCTTATCACAAGGTCTTGTTTAAAGTAAGGAACTCAATATTTGACTTGCAGAGAATGGGGTTCTTTGCCCTCGGGTATGATAAAAACTTAAGTGTGTTTGAGTTATTTGTAAGGAAATAGAAACAGTGTTGTGTCAACTTCCAGCCCCTTAATCTACAATACTCAGAGCCACCTTCTGATGAGAATAGGGAGAAAGAATGTCCAGTCCTTCCAGGGCAGAGGGCAGGGGGCTGTGTTTCTATACTGAACTTTACACACTGACCTTCTGTGAAGAAGAGAACAGAAACAGAACAAGCTAAAACTGGGCGTGGTGGTACATGCCTGTAATCCCAGCCCGGACATACAGAATCCAAGTTAGAGACTAACCTGAGCTACTAGCAAGTTACAGGCCAGTCTGAGATATGAGACCTTATTTTAAAACAAAACAAAAGCCAAAACAAGCAACGAGAACAACAAAACCCAAAAGAATGAAAGGAAAGAAGGACAATGGCAAGCCAGGGTTTTGATATGTTGCTGAGAATTTAATTCCATAAGTTTTAATAGACCATCTACTTGTCCTCATGGCCATCCTCCAAGCCTCATCTGGATAAGGGTGGGAATGTTAGCTTCGCCCCATATAATCTCTTAAGGACCAAGGATGGTGGAGGTTTGATCATCTTGGATCATTGCTACTTCATCATCGTCTTTCAGGGTTGCTATAGCTGGGAAAGAAAACTGTAGGGTATTTATCAGCCAGGGCTTTGGGTGGCCCATATCACTCCCATGAGGACCCAACTGGCTGAAACCAACTGACAGTGAAAGGCATACGGGACATGTTTGCATCCTTCCTGTCCTTAAAGAGGGAAGCCGAAATACAGTTTGATGAACACTAAGAGATATATCAGCCGTGGCTTCTTATTCCAAGCAGGCTTCCTGTGGCTACAAGATAACACACATTTTGTTGATCTTATCTCCATTTTACATAAGGAAAGTGAGGCAAAGAGAAATGAAATCACTTAAGCTCCCACAGCCAGTGAGAGGCACTTGTCCTCGAGAGTTCTTGTCTAACCCCTGTGTCATATGCCCTTTGTCATACACACGGTAAGTGTGGGAGTCCTGTCATGGCCCTGTGTACCCTGTGCCTCCTCCCCTCAGCCACACACAGCTCCTGGAGATGGTATTTGACTCTCACCAGGTCACCTTGCCAGTCTTCAGTCCTAAGACGTCAGCTGTATAAATTTATTCCCAATACTTTTGACCCGCCTATCTTGGTGTCCCATCTGTTCACAGGACGTGGCTGAGAGCTTGATTGTGAATACAATGCTATCTGGTTAGATGCCATCTCTAAATGTGACGCATCTTGCAGGGCATCGGCAACCGTTGGAACCATTGTGTCCCCTATTTCTGTCCTTGAGTGAGGCGTTCTGGTTCCCCTGTCCTTAACTGCTCTTAGCATAAGTTCTTCTCATCCTTTTGGAACAAAAGTTAAATGAACTGCATTTTTCTCCTAAATCAATGTAATGGGGCAGATTATGTACTGACAAGTAGTGGGAGAGGCTCTGGCAGCTGGCTCTGAGCGTGGCTGAGCAATGGATGCACTAGGAATTTAAGTTTTCTCCAGCCCTCAGAATTATTCAAGTTTCCTTATATAACCTGTGTATCCAAGGTCAGAATATTGCAGAAGTAACATAAGGGCTATACCTTCAGTAATATCCACTCTTGGACCCTAATATGAACAGAGATTCTGTTTGTTCTTTGTGACAGTGAATACCCAGAATCTAGTAGAATATCCTGGAATCTAGTAGATGTGCCATTGCTCAGCTTGTT